AGGTCAGCACCCCAAAATGGTTGACATGGGTAGGTCGGCACCCCAGAATGGTCGTACCGGGTAGGTCGGGCACCCTATAATTACCCGACAATATGTATGCTACGTGATTGTATGGTATGTGGTACGACGGGGGAGCTCACTAAGCTTCGTGCTTACAGTTTTTAGTTTTGTTTCAGGTACCTCTTCAGCGAAGGGGAAGGAGTCGGCGCGGTAGCTGCACATCATACACACATTGGATTCCACACTATGAGATGTCTTGGGATTGTACTCTGACATTATTACTACTTTTATGATATGATTTTCAGACATGAGTTTATGGTTTTATTAAATGATATGACATGGTGATATTTTCATATAAATGTTTTTCTGAATCGTTATATATAAAAATTGAAAATTTTGAATGTGAAAATTGGGTTGTTACAATTTCTCATCATCATCATTTGTGAATAAAACAAAAAACATCTCATTGCCACAAAGGTGACCCATGGTTCACTACGGGATCACCCACTAGTATTATATTAATAAACATGGTCACTAGTAATATTATATTTTATATGTTTTAAATTTTTGCCACAATGCTTTTTATACATATTTTATATGTTTCATGATTTTGCCACAATACTTTGTATAATTTGATAATTTAGTCCCTAACATGTTGTAATTAGAGATTGACCCATGTCTTTTAATATTTTCCACTTTAAGTCCCATTATTTTGTATGTTTCAAGACTTTGCCACAATATTTTCTATAGTTTGACAATTTTAATCTTTGGTATGTTGTAATTAGAAACTGGCTACATATCTATTAATATTTGTCACTTTTAGTCACTTTGGCCTTCTTTTTGTCCATTTTTTCGTCTTGCTACTAATATTTCATTACGAATTTGCCACACGTGTTTTAATATTTCCCACTTTCAATCGCTTTGACCATTTTTATCTTCATTTTGTCCATTTTCCATCTATCGATTTGTGCTTCTGTTTTGGGCTTCATTTTGTCATCTTTTTCTCATCGACATCATTTCTGAATAAAACAAAACTTATCTCATTACCACAAAGATGACCTGTGAATAAAACAAAACGTATCTCATTGGCACAAATGTGACTCGTGATTCACCACAGGCTTACCCACTAGTTTGGATTATGTAACTACTGATCCCAAAGTATTTTACATCTTTTACGCCTATTAAAAATCCATAAAAAAGAAATTAGAAACTATAATTCCACACGATCCAAAAAGTCGTGATGACCATTGCAATCCGCATCAGACATCTTTTTATTAGACTGCGGCAACGAGCTCCTTTCAGCTTATTATTATTATTATTATTATTATTATTATTATTATTATTATTATTATTATTATTATTATTATTACTACTATTATTGTTGTTATTATTATTATTATTAGTAGTAGTAGTAGTAATAGGCGAATGTACGCGTATTGCGCAGAAACACAAATATAGTCGAAGTATTTACAAATATATATATATATATATATATATATATATATATATATATATATATATACCAATAGCATTGTTGTAAAATCTGATATAATAATTCGTATACTAAACTGATATAATATATTGATTATTTTGAATTATATGATAATATATACATCTATTATAACTACATAATCTCAATCGCTTGAATTACTTCTATCCGCGAGTTACACATGAATAAAATTAAATATAATATATGATTTAATGTTATTTATAGTTGTTGTTATTGTTAATTATTATTTTTTAAATTTATTTGCTTAAAGTTTTTATTTTTATCATTATAATTATTTAAAACATCAAACATTTGTTTTTTGATTTTAAAAGAAATAATATAATCATTTATATAGAGTTAGTTTTAACTATTGTTATTATAATTTATTTTAAGCTACTTATTTGAAAACTTTTAATGATTATAAAAATATCTTTATGAAATGTTTTAGTTAAATTGAGATTACAATTTAGTTTTTGCATTTATCACTTTTAACTATTTACATAATATTCTTTGGTTTTTTAAGAGGAACTGAAATTTATATTCAAGTTGATATTGTAATGTTATATTTAAATTAGCAATTTTAAATATTTTGTCCAAACTGTTCAAAAATTGTAGCTTTAATTGGTAATGGTTTACATAGAACAACACATTAAATGTAATAAATTAAGTATAATATGTTAAAAGTTAAAGACATAACTTTATAAGTAGAGGTAAATATATTATTTTAAAACTGAAATTTAGTATATTTATAATTACACTTTAGGTTTGATATTGCACGTAGTTTGATGCATCATACATACTTATAAAGTTAACATTTTTTCTTGAATTTTATGCATTTGAAATCCTATTTTTTAACTTCCTCAAACAATATTCATTTGAAACTCCATTTTTTAATTAATGCAACTCAAAAGTTTTCTTAATTATGATTTAACACTGATAAGTTTTATAACTTATATTATGTTTAATTAACATTTGGTGAAAAGTTTACTATAAAAGACCAATCTTTAGTGTCTTTTGAGTTATATAAAATCTTACATGTATAAAGGATTTGAAGATATTGTGATTCAAAAGTTTTCATATAATTGAGACATTTATGATCAAAATATGATGATTTGAAAAAATGGTTTATGTCGCATCGATGATAATTGTAATACGATTTTTTCTTTCAACCAAAACAAATGAATCTTTTATATTCTTTCTTTATATTCAGGTTCTCATTTAATCTTTATATGTCATTTATGTGTATTACTCAATCTTAAATGTTTTGTTTGAAATATCTTTTTGATTCTTGTTTTTCAAAGAAAATATTTTGATTGCAGGTTAGTGAAGAATTATCATCAAGTTTTTATGGTTGAATGGTGCTAAATGAAGAAAGAAGATTCATAAAATGGATATAGTTTTTTTTTTTTTTTTTTTTTTTTTTTGAACAAAGTTAACGAATGTTAGTTTTTTTATTTTGATTTAGATGTATGCATATGTAACATCTTTATATTCAACCACCTAATTCTCTTATTTATTTATTTGTAGTTTTTCTATTTGATTATGTTTATTTTATATTTTTTTTGTTGGGTTATCCTACACAACATATTTAAAAGATAACATAATTTTGAACATTTGATATGTAATTATGATAGACTTATCATGATATGTTCTTTATATAAAAGTAACTTATCCATATTACTACGACAAGAATTACATATGACATTTACGAATATATATATATATATATATATATATATATATATATATATATATATATATATATATATATATATTATATGTGATTTGTTTAACATGTATATGCACCTATGTATGTTATAAATTTATAATTAAATACTTTTATGTTTAATAACTGAAAGGATTACAATGATGCATCAAAACCAATTATTTAAACGAATATAATAATAATAATAATAATAATAATAATAATAATAATAATAATAATAATAATAATAATAATAATAATACATTTCCAAGTACAACATTCATTTGAAACTCACGCTATAACTCAAGAATTTTCTAATTTATGTATATTTATTAGTTACAACTCAAGAGTTTTTAACTTATGATTATTAATTAGTAATGACTAATAACTTTTTATTTTCCTTTCTTTTATAAGGTTGTAAAGTTTTGTTCTCTAAAAACATTAATGTATTTGAAGATATTTGTGATTCAAATATGAAGAGTTAATATAAATGCTATAATAGATGTTTTAGTGTTTTTATGTTATTAAAAGTTATAGTGTTTATTTTTCATATTTTTTTATTATTCGTTGTATATATATCTTTTTTAATACAAATGTTATAATAAATGTTTTTCTATTTTTATGTTATTAAAAATTGCAGTTTATATATTTTTTTCATACGTTTTGTTACCCGTTATATTATCATTCATTTGATATATAATTAAACAATTTTAAACGGTTTATAAAATTATCATATAATTGTATATATCACAACGACTTAAAAATAAAACTATAATGTTTAATAAAATTAATATGTTAACTATATGTTTGCTTTACTACTAACATTTTATTTCAAAGTAGAAATATTAAATAATAATTTGGTAAAAATTATTATTTTAACTATATAATTTTATTCTCGTGGAACGCGTGAGAATTCGCCTAGTCAATATAAATGTGTCTGGTCATACAAGTTATTCGTAACGACAAGAGGGATCAATAATTTTATCTAATTTTAGATGGCCAAATTATTGTCAGGAGAGTACATAAGATTTAAGACAAGGCTTATATAATAATAGAAAAAATAAAAATATTGAAAATTTTCAAAAAAATTTTCATTGCGAAAATCAGAGGTTGCCGGTGACACCCGACTCCCTAAATTCGCCCCTGATTATTGTACTTGACTCGTTTTGTCATTGTTCATATTACAAGCAACTATTTTATAAATGCATGTAGTTAAAACTTCACTTTCTCATCGCTTGTCCACAAGTATCAATATACATTTTTAATTATAACAATTATCATTTGTAAGTAACATTAGGTTATCTGCATTTGTGTAATTGTACTTTTTCTTTACGAAAGCCACACATATTATTTTCTTTAAATTTACCTTTTACATCTGTATCCTCTCTTTTAGTTTGATTGGCCCAAAATTTGAACTCTGACTCATATATGTTTTATAATATAAGTTTTATAGACTTGTATATAGTCTAATATAAGTTTATGTTGGATATATATATATATATATATATATATATATATATATATATATATATATATATATATATATATATATATATATATATATATATATATATATGACGACTTAGTTCTCATAAATTTCTTTTATTAATAAAAAAAGGAAATCCAATATATTTACCAATTTGACTAGATTCTAACCCTTAATACACATCATATATTAAGAACACGTGAAATTATCAAATTGAAAGTGTGGATGCCTATAAATTTATGGTTGTTCACGGAATATATAAACTTATGGTCCCAACTCCCAAACAAACAGGATTAGGGAGGAAGACTTGAAATATAAGGATGTGGAGGTTGAGAATCGGGCAAGGGGACAAAGATGATCCGTATTTATTCAGCACAAACAATTTCTTAGGAAGACAAACATGGGAGTTTGATGAAAACTATGTTGCGACTCCTGAAGAGTTGGAACAGGTTAAGCAAGCTCGTTGTTTTTTCTTCAACAACCGTTACAAACAAAAACCATGCGGAGATTATCTTTGGCGCTTTCAGGTACTATGGTGTTACACATAGAAAAAAAAATTAAAAAGTATTTACAGTTTTACATATTGTGATTTAAGGTTTTTTATGACAGAATTTTAACATTTATAAACATATATTTCTTAATTCATTTCTTATTTGTTACCGTGAAATAATTAATATAATTATATAATATGATTAGAAAGCTATAGATGGGGTGATTTTAACAAGACTTCAAGTTTATAGCACTATGTTTTTAACAGCTTTGTAGCAATAGCGAGTTCGATGTTTTGTTTAAATCGGTCCTTGATCTGTTACACATGGTACGGCATCATAACATCCTATCTCATATTGTGCTTGATTTATGGTTATAAACTCATGTGTTCATAGGGTGTGTATATATATATATATATATATATATATATATATATATATATATATATATATATATATATATATATATATATATATATATATATACACACACTCTGTTAATTTAACAACATAAAAATATAAAAATACAAAACCATAAATATATACCTAATTAATTAACAAAATTTTAAATATTTAGTGATTATAATTTGAGACTTAAGCACCTCCTATGTATACTTGTCCTAAATTCAAATCACACAAACCACCTAAATTCAAATCCAACGAAATTCAACATTTGGCTGATCCACAAAGTATTGATATAGGATTATTATCTTCATGGTAGTTTTTTAGAGTTCAAAATTGCTTCTTATGATTGAATATCACTGAATTGTTTTTTGATTCAATAGTAAAAAGTTACTACATTTTAACCCATTTTTTTTTAATAACGTTTCTTCTTATTTACTTATATTATTTAACCTTTAAACGTTTATTATTTTTTAACTATTTGTTATATTTCATTTTAAATTCAATATTAACTGCTAAATATTTCATTTTAAATTCAATATTAACTGCTAAATCATAATGATCGTACATATTTTTATAATTATAAACATAATAACTTTATCATGTTTTTTAGACAAAATTTCACAAATGATCTTTATTATTTTGATTTTGTCATCAAAACAGTCATTATGAAACATTTTTTTGCATTAGTGGTTCATTTGGACATCCATCTTAAAACACTTGCATATAGATGTTCGTTAAATGAATCTGTTAAATCGATTTTTTTTTAGATAAGGATAATTTCTGATATTTTGTGAAACTTTTTAAATGGACCATTTGTGAATAAAGATAATTAGTGAAATTCAAAATAAGTCTATTGAATCTTCTATTAATTACCATAAATCAAATAAAAATACAAAAAAACTAAAACATAGAAAAAATAATATTTATAATAAATAAAATAAAACTTACTAATTTTAATCATAATGCAAATATATTTTATTTAATATATAAATATTTTTTGTGTCTAAACATTATTTAAAATATTCAAACTATAATACATCATTAAAAAATTTCGTTTTTTTTAATATATTTTTTATCTAAAAAAATTGAAGTATAAAAACATCATTTTATCTATTTCTAATATATGTAATATTATTTTCGATATTTATCTTTATTTTTCTTAAATAAATATATTTATTTAAAAAAATATGATATGTTATTATTTTAAAAACACAAACCTTTTAAACATATAACATATTTTTATTTTCTTTTAAAAAAATAAATTGAATGGAATTAATGTCATATTATTCATATGGTTAATTATTTTAGTATGTGTAGTAGCATAGTTAAAAAGAGGATAAAGTAATTTTAAATATTTTATTATTTTATTATTAACTAACAAAAGTTTTTTTTTTTTATTTTTTTATTTTTAGTTTTGCTTTGAAAAATTCATGTATTTATTAAGAAATATGTTCAAATTTCGATAAAATAAAATAATATTTTTTAAATTAGATATCAAAAGTTTATATTGAACCAATATAAAATTTACCATATTTATATTTTGAAACTAAAATCGAAACATATTTTTACCTTTTGACTCGAAACCACATGCATATATATTTTGAAAGTAAAATCGAAACATATTTTTACCTTTTGACTCAAAACCACATTCTTATATTTTTAAAATAAAATAGCATCATATTATTATTTTTATAATAATATATTTTTTGATAATAACACATCATATTTTTTTGATAAAAATAAATATATTTGTATAAGAAAAATAAAGATAAATATCGAAATATAATATCACATAAAAATTAAAAATAGATAAAATGATATTTTTACACTTCAACATTTTTAGATAAAAAATAAAAATAAAAATATTTAATGATGTATTGTAATTTAAATATTTAGATAAAGTTTAGACAACAAAAATTAATTAGATATTAAATAAAATATATTTGCATTATGATTAAAATTAGTAAGTATATATTTTTTATTTATATTTTATGTGTTCTAGTTTTTTTGCCATATTTGATTTATGATAATCAAGACAAGGATTACTCGACTTATTTTAAATTTCACAAATGGCACTTAGGCAAAATTTTACAAATGTTCTTTAGGTAAAGTTTCAAAAACTATCAAAAATAGTTCTTATTGAAAATTCTTTAAACTTAACAGATACATTTAATAGACATCCATTGTAGGGACGAGTGGAATGCAATTTTTTCCAAAAGAACCATTCATGCAAAAAAAGATTTCACGAGGACTATTTTGGGGACAAAATCTAAACCATAATGACTATTTATGAAATTTTGTCTTTTTCTTATTTAAAAAAGGACTGGATATTATAATATATTGTTTTAATTTTATGTATTGTAATATATTGTTTTTATTTAATATTAATGTGAAATATTGTTTATTTTTATAAATATTATGTATGTTAATATGAAAAAATTAGATGAGGGATTTTATAAAATATTTCGTTAGATTGGGTAAATTAGTTGATTTCCTTAAAAAAATATTTAAAAATATTTAATGATTAGAGATGAATTAATTTAATAATATTATTGTTTAATACAGTTACTGAAAATATAATTTATAAAAAAACTATACAAGGGATCTATTACTATAGATGCTCAGATAGAATAAGGTTATTTTATTATGTTGTTGTATGTGTAATGGCATAGCATACACATATATACATGTGTATATGTGTATGTGTGTATTCAAATAAAAGCACTAAATATAATGAGAACTTGATAATATTATTTTTATATTATTATTCTACTATGAATTTTATATATATATATGTAATATTATAGTAATTTTAATATAAATCTTAAAATATGATTATCTATATATTCATTTTTATATTATTATTCTACTATAAATTTATGTATGTATAGCATTATAGTAAATTACAATGTTAATATTAACATATGATTATTCATATATTCATTATGTAATAATGACATAAAATTAATAACAAAATAATAACATAAAAAATAGTGTTCTCACGTTTTCATTGTATTTAGTGTTTATATATATATATATATATATATATATATATATATATATATATATATATATATATATATATATATATATATATATATATATATATATTACATGTTAGACCTAGAAATTTGATACACCACGTGACTAACATGATACGAGTTTTTCATGTATATGTTTTAAAATTTTGTTTTTCATGTCTATTTGTGTCGATATGAATTCTAAATTTACGTTTTTTGTTTTTACACGTGTTAAACACGAATTTACATGTTAAACATGTATAAGAGACGAATTAAATTTGTATGACATGCGACACGATATACATGAGATGCGACACGTATATGCACAAATTTAAAGCATGTTTTCCTAGCTTAAAAATGTTATTAGACAATGCGTGTATATATTCTTTTAAATTTGTGTTTTCGTGTAACACAGTTAAAAACATGTGGATTATTTCATGTCACGTGTCACATATATTAATTACGTATCGTGTTCGTGTTTAATAACAATAACATTTTACAATTCTTGTCATGTAAATTCATGTTTCACATGTATACCCGACACTGAAGCAAGAATCGTGAGGTTTATATTTAGGTATTTCTAATTGATATTTTAAAATATAACTTAACATCTTAGATTGTAAACAAGTTTTATAAACATATATAATATTTGTTAACTCACCGATCATCATGGACAATTTAGTAATTTTAAACTTTAGTGGGGTCGTTTACCAGTGCTACTAAACGGACAATTTGGTTATAAACACAGGCAGCCTAAATAACTCATTAACTTGTATAATATGCAACTTGTTTGGTAGCGTTTCTATGTTTGTTGATTGCTTGTTTACGTTTAATAATAAAGCCAAAATCTTGTTACAGTTTAAAAGAAAAAAAAAAAACTATATTTTTTTGAACGGTAGCAAATTATTATTAAACCCTAAACAAAAATCTAGCAATGAGCAAGATAACAAAACATGTCAAGGCATGATAGGATTTTGAAACCATGTAAACGGAAAGAAGTTTCAACAATGGAATCAAATAAGAAATGTTTCTTAGGTTTAGAGTTACGAAAAAGAACTGCATTCCGATATGTCCAAAGGACCTAAATGACCACCAATGACACTGTCTCTACTATCACCCGCTCCATTCTCGCAGGAGGTCTAGCATCCATCCAATGCACCAACTTCACCATGAAATTAAACAATGGAAGGTCCAACTCGAGCCATAAAGAGACTCTTTTCAAAATTTGGGTTGCAATGGAACTCTACATAAACAAGTGAAAAACATTCTCTTAGGAATCCAAACAAACTGGACACAAAACCGAATCCAAATCAATGTCCCTCTCTTTGTTCTAAAGGGGATTCAATCTAACAAAACAAACCAAAAAAACATTAATCTTTATATAGGGGCAAAACGGTTCCACCTAGTCGGACGGATACCCGAAGGTAACCTGTAATCATCAATCCATCTCCTAGTCGAGCTGACAGGAAAAAACACCCGACAGATCCAAAATCAAGAAAAAAAGTGTATAACTTTGATTTTGACAAATACGAAATGTTTATCCTCTTTTAGTTTTTCATATTATTCTTTTGGAAGAGGAAATATTATACAACTTTAAAAATTATAAAAACACAACAATAATTACAAACAAGATAATTGTGCGACAACAAAAGAGTTATTTTTAACATCCATTTCCATTTTGTACTACTTCTATGAAATACTGTACACACATGTAGTCGTGCCATTTGACAAACATGGGGTGGCCTAAATGAAGTACTTACGTTTGCATAAATAACTAGGGTAATTATAATATGCCATTCTAGATCTTGTTAAGACAAAGTTTTTGTGTTTGTTGATTTATTGTTTAATGTTCTTAAAATAGTGCAACCACGATAGCGGTATATAATCTATTTTATCTTGTAGAGAAGTAGGATCAAAGTATCAAAAATATATTGGATAATTTTAAGGATCGTGTATCAAAACATTTTTCATAATTTTTAATTTCAACCATTTTGCTTGAGCTAACATGAAATCAGAGTTAGAATAAACCAAGAAAAATACAATATGGATTTTAGGCAAGATCCAAGATCAAAACACAAAATACATTGTGTGCTTGTTTTCCCAACAAACACAACCGTTAGGTTTTTGTAGAAAAGTAACGAACATATACATCCATTGCAACTAGATCTTTTTTCGGGTTAGGTAGATGCCCCATATCCCGCAATGGATCCCCAAGGGTTTTATCCATTGGACCCCTCCAGAGGAGATGACCCTTAGAACCTTACAAGGCGCGTTCCCCCACCCCCACCCCGATGTTCCCCAAGATCATATTACCTTATGTGTGGATTCACCACAAACATAACTTCAAATTGTCTCGACCAATCTCGGTTATACTAAAAGGCTTGATACCAAAATCACCAACATTTTTTCCACTTTTTAGTGTAATCCATGATTAACTTAAAATAACAAACATAAAACCAAATTCATGCGTAAATAAAAATGTCTAGAATATTGAATATCCATATTAGTATGATGCACATTTCAAATACTTGAAAATTTTGGTGTCCTAAAGTTTAAACTCATCACCTCGTTTGAGTAACTAAAACTATCATACACACAAGTTTATATAGAAAATCTAATGTTATACTTAACATTGTTATAAACCATGTACCCCATCCATGCATGAGTGCATAAAATCCAAGTCCAAACTTCCTAAACCAGAATAGTTTCACACTTACATAAGTAGTCATTTTAATTCGTTCTTTAAAAGAACCGTTAAGAAAATATATTCATCCTTACTTTAATATGCATGTCTAGGCACATACCATGGGATGATGTAAAAAAATATGCTTCAATCTCCAAGAGAATATTGGATTCCATATTATGATGGAATTAGGTATTTTACCATGAGATATAATAAACGAGCCTCTAGGTCCATCCTGATAGCTGACTTATTTACCAAATCTCTAGCTAACCCTTTCGTCAAGTGATTAGCTAGATTATGTTGATATTAAATAAACTCGATATAAATTATCCCATTAGCGATTTTGTGGGTTTTATTAGTATCAAAACACTATCTAAAGGCATCAGAAATAATCAAAATATATACCTAAGTGTATATGTACCATAGATCTAGGTACTACTAGTTATAGAAACAAACTTTAAAATCAACTAGAAATAACATACTAACCTCTTGATTATTTGCTTGAGATCTTATGAATGCTAGTGATTACAGTGGATAAAGGATCCAAAGTAGAATCCCTCTAATGAAGTTAGAACCACAAACTCCAAAAGCAAATAGGAAGAACCGTATTAGGGTTTAGTTGAAATTCTCTAACCCTTGAAGAGAGATTAGAAGTTTCGTGTGAAGGATAGAGAGACATGTATATATATATATATATACATATATATATATATATATATATATATATATATATATATAGAGAGAGAGAGAGAGTATGGTCACAATTATGAGAAAAATCATCACCTAGGGTTTGAGCCCTAGTAGTCAATTTATAGGTTGCAGATAGAATCCTAAAAAGATTCAAACTCTTAAGGTCAATCATTATCTGATTCAAACATGCCTTATCCTTATTAGAGAGCTAGCCATAAATATAACTTTAACCCGTAAATATCCCTGATAACGTAGATGCAAAACAGTTACAAACAACTCATGGTTTTGCTTTCATATAGCCCAAGATGTATCGGGAAGAGTTTTGGGTTAAAGTCGAAAGGGTCAAAATTTTACCTTAGAACTCAAACGCAAGTAATATATCAACTTCATGATAGCAATTTAACACCTAAATATACCAACCTTCTTATCATGTATATGCAGAACAATCATAATTTGTGGGTTTGCATTTTCTGTAGCCCAAAATGTATTAGGAGTGCAACGTCAAAGTCATAATGGTCAAAATTCACCTTTGAACTTAAACTCTAGTAATGTATCACCTTTCTGGCAACACTTTAGTCCCTAAATATCCCAACCTTCTTATCACGTATATGCTGAATAGTCAAAAATAATTCATGGATTTACATTTTTTGTAGCCCAAGATGTATCAGGAGTGTAGAGTCAAAGTCAAAATGGTCAAAATTCACATTTAAACTCAAACTCCAGTAATATATTTGTTGGGTTTTGTACGCATAAATACACTCTAACAATGCAGCGGAAACAATACAAATTTACCTAAGTATACATGCACCCTGGGATCTAGGTTTACTAATTATAGCAACTTACTTTAATAAATTGTGAAACTAATAAGAAAGACGGAATTACTAAACTCTTGTGTAACTCAATATTGATCTTTTTAACCCATTCTTGAAGCTTCATAATCCCTTTTTAATCCAACTATGTTTCCTGGATGAGAGGACCCAAAGTAGAGTCACTCAAATGGAATCACACTTAATGACTCCAAAGAGAGAACCAATAGAAAAGATAGGAGATGGTTAAGAAATTCATCCGATAAAGAGAAATAGAAGAAATTGACAAAAATTCAAGACAAGGTGCAAAGGTGCAAAGAGGAATGAAACCACTAACACCCTATATATAGTCTTAAATCCCTTTCCAAGTTTATCTCATATCCCATGTGGGATAGAGACATAATTTGAAATATTCTCTCATCTAATATGGGATGTAAAATTTCAAATTCTTTCCTTATTCCCCAAGGATTCCAAAATATTCCAATTAATCAATTTGTTAAATGATTAATATTCAACCCCTTTGAATTAATTAATTCATAATTAATTTCAAAATAGTTTTAGATTAATTTATTAAACATAACAAATTAATAAACTTATTTTCTCCTTATGTCTATTTCTTTTAATTCCTCATTTTTTTTTATCTTGAATACAACCTAAAAGACCTTCTAATTATTTAGAATTATTACTAATAGGTAATCACTTTAGACTCTATTTCCAATAATATCACCTACCTAATAGTACCCACTGTGAAAAAAATAAAGAAAATAGGTTAAAACTTGTGATATGAAGTCAAATTTACCAACTAAAAACTTACATAGGATTAGTGGTTATTTGAGCATCAACAGGTTTATATTGGGAGAAAACCAAAAAACAAAAGCTTAATATCCCCATAATTAGGCAATGAAAAAGTCTTGCTTCATGTTTATATATTGTAAAGATGAGTATAATGTTTAATGATCAAAGTAAAATTGTGAGAAACATAAAAGTCGAGACTACAAAATTAGCTATGATGTGAAAACAACAAGTAGTAAACACATGGAAATTAAGGAGTGTGAACCTTTTTTTTTAATATTGAAATATAAAACTAGGTAAAGGGTAGTTGAAGACAAATTGAAAAAAATATAGCTTAGAGTAATATGGTCAAGTGTACATCGTAATTGTCTTTTCTTTGATAGGTATGATATGAAAACAAGTGGGAAACACATGGGGATTCAGGAGTGTGAACCTTTTGTTTGAATCCTAAAATATAAAATTAGGTAAAGGGTAATTAAAGACAAATTGACAAAAAAAAAGGTAATGGTATGGTCAAATATATATATATATATATATATATATATATATATATATATATATATATATATATATATATATATATAAAGTTAGTATAAATTATTATTATTTTTTTAAAATAACATGGATAAATACGATATTTTAAATGTTACAAAAGATAAATATGATTTTAGATTTTAAATTAAACAAATACGATATTTTGAAACTTAACAAGGTATGTATGAAATTCACCTACTCATCCTTCTTATAAAATAAAATACTTTATAATATTTTCTTATATACTTTGTTATTGACTAAAAATATATGTAATACTTATAAAAACAAATAGTAAGTAACATTAATATGAAAAATCAATTTATTATGATATCAAAATTTTAATAAATACTATAAATCTAAAATAAAAAAAAAAATTAAATTTTCAAAGTTAGATATAAATAGGGGTTAAGCTCAAAGTTATCTATTTAATATCTATTTGACATTCAATTATCGCTACATTATGAGAGTGTTTGGCAAAAATAGTTGGTAGCATTTTGTTAAACGCTACTTGAAGTAACATTTGAATTTGTAGCGTTTTTGTTTAAAGTAACGCTAGAACCTTGTAGAGCCAAACAAGACTTCTTGTTCAAAACGAAACGTTTTGTCAAACACTAGAAGTTAAAAACTTTCAAACGCCTCAAACGTTCAGGGTCAAACACATCCTACATGTCATCTAGACATGATTCAACTATTCAATTCTATCATGCATGATTTTAGTAGAAGGGACCGCATTTTGAAAATTGGATGCATGACCCCATTTAAAAGTGGGTCCCAACTCAAAATTTTGGTAGAAAATGATTTTTTTTAAAAGTGTATAATTGGTCCTTATTTAATTATTTTTGGCACCTATATATACTAAAGGTACCCATAAAAACTTAAAATTCAGAACTTTAATATATGATGGACACTTGTTAGTTGTTGTGGCTCCACCATTGATTGCATTATGAATGTTATAAGGACAAAATGAGTTCACAAAGTTTCAAAATTTTGAATTCGTAAGCTTTACTTGAAGTAATTAATGTTCTAAAACTAAACCGTATGATGATTGTGTATTTGTCTAATTTCAAATATAGTTTTTGAGGGAGAAAAACTTCAAACAAACGATACCACGAGAGATAGTCGTGGAGGAGAGCGAGATAAGTTATGGCATTGTAACCAACACATTAAAAAGGGCCGTTCGTTACTGGGCAGCTCTACAAGCAAGCGACGGCCACTGGCCATCTGCAAACAATGGCTGCCATTATTTTATGCCACCTATCGTTAGTAATAATTTCTGTTTCCACATTACTTTTTGCTATTTGGATGCATTCTTATATTAATCGATATCTTGTTTTTGTAGATCATGTGTTTGTATATAACAGGCCATCTTGATACATTCTTCTTAGCAGAAGATCGAAAAGAAATCCTACGGTATATATATTATCACCAGGTATCTTATGTGCCAACTTAAGCTTTCTTTAGTGACCAGTTTCATAAAATTCCAAGAGATTGAACATAACCAAATTATACAATATGTGCATGTAGAATGAAGACGGGGGATGGGGATTTCACATAGAAGGTCACAGCATCATGTTTTGCACGACACTCAATTATATATGCATGCGAATGCTCGGAGAAGGACCTGATGGTGGCCATGATAATGCATGTTATAGAGCTCGTAAATGGATTATTGATCATGGAAGTGTCACTGCCATCCCTTCATGGGGAAAGACTTGGTTATCGGTGTGTTCCTCGTGAAACTAATTTGTCCAACATATTATGCCTTTTTGGCACGATCATCCCTTCTATTGTTGATAAACTGATGTTTTAACTTAATTTAGATACTTGGGCTATATGAGTGGTCAGGAAGCAATCCAATGCCTCCGGAGTTTTGGCTTCTCCCATCATTTCTTCCCTTCTCTCCAGGTTTCCCTCTTTCTAGTTTTCATGCCTTTGATTGTTCATGGTTCAATTCATTTATAACTGTTGGAATCTTTTTACTACTGAGAGTTTTACTTCTTTATTTGGCGATATATATATCCAGGAAACATATGGTGTTATTGTCGGATGGTTTATATGCCAATGTCTTATTTATATGGGAAGAGATTTATTGGTCCGATCACTCCTCTAATTCTGCAGTTGAGAAAAGAGCTTTATTCTATACCATATCATGAAGTCAAATGGACAAAAGTAAGACATGCTTGTGCAAAGGTATACATTTGATATATTGTTCTTATTAGATGGCTCGATAATAAATCAACACATGCATTGATATCCAATAAAAAGTGATAATGTATATCATCTTTATCCTTTGAATAATGAACATATACTTCACATATATACATACCAAGATGGACCTGGGTGGAAAACTAATAAAATTGGCTAAGCTAATATGCAATCTAACACCCCTTCATAATTTTAACATGAGTAGAAAAACGAACATTCGCTTGTGGTGACCTAATTTTTGGCGAAGTGAATGTCTATCTAGATCTTCGATCTTTGATGACAAAATGGATTTGAGGACATGTACATGCCATGATATTCACATTATACTAAAGTCACCTTGCCTGGTAGAGGACAAAGCTCACATGGTATGTTACAGACCCTACATGTTTTAGCAATAACATTAGTTAGACCCTAATATTTGGCCTCACCACTCAAACAAGAAATAACACATTGGCATTTAGACGAACAAGATACAAGGTTTTCCTTAAAAGTATATAGTAGCCTTATGTAGATCATCGGGTAAATGGAAACCCCCCGCTTGGCATTCGAATATGCAATAAGGCAAGTAGATGGTGAAGCATGTAAACATAACATGCGATCCATTAGTACCCCATATGCATCAAGAATATGTTTGAGATCATGTAAGTATGGCCCCATGGATCATGCATAAATAGATAGGTCTGTGGACAACAATATATATGCTAGGTCTCATGAATGTTAAGTACTTTAACGCCCGACTAGATTGAAAAATAGTGTAGGATGTGCTACCGGAGTACTACATGCATCAATTTTATGAATAACCTTAATGGTATTATCAATGGGTTGAAATTCATCAAGTTAGCACATTCCCAGAAATTCAGTGGCATATTTTGGTTGAGATAAGAAAAGGCCACATGGTAGGTGAACAACGTAGATACCCAAAATATAGCTCATATCCTCGATATTTATCATCTATAATTTTTGACCAATCTATGTGTTAAAGTAGATCAGTGGAGGAAAAAATAAGAATAATGACATACATGCATAAGAGCATGTAATTTGTAGCTTGAGGGCAGTGATAGATGAAGAGAGATGAGTGATTATGACTATGTTGAAACTCAAGTCGTGCATCATGCTCATCAAATTATGGGCACTGGAATGCGGGCCATGTTTAAGGCTATATAAGGAATGTTGAAGGTGACACACATGATTGGGAAATTATATGTCTAGATGCAAGGGGTTGATGCATGTAAACCTTTTCTTGATTGTGGTAGTCAGAAAGGAATTCATCACATCAATTTGATGGGTAGATGAATGTTGGGATACCACAAGAGCGAGAAGCATGCAAATGGTAACTAGTTTGACTATTTTACCGAAGGTCTCATCATAGTTGCCTTGTTGTTAAATTTGGATGTTCACAACAAGCCTTACTTTGTAGAGGGTAAGTGAACTATCTCTATTGATTATTATTATTATTTTTGAAAAACCACATTTATCTCACCATATCAGCTCCATGGGATTAGGAAACAATCACCCATGTACCATTAGAAATACGAGCCTAGAATTATTCAGTTACTGTTTTATGTTAGTGTAGGTCTTTTAAGTCCTATAAGTACGAGCATGTGATGGGTAAGAGAGAGAGTAGGTGTTGATGTTGAAATAATTTTGAGGTTTGGTAAAAACGCTTTTGGATTAGGAATATATATGTGGGTGATTGTGGCGTGATGTGTTATTTTTGGTGGATGATGGGAGGAGCAGAATGGGCATGGTGGTGTTCGATGTTAACCGATAGTGGGAATATGGATTATTTCAGTGAGAGAAATGGAAGGAGTGATCGGTTGTTGAGCATCAACAACGAGTGGTAGAAAACGATGAAGGGTCAAGGAGTTGTTAATTATTGTCACATGATTATTGACTAATCATGGATATCATCCTAGAAGTCCTAGGATTAGGGGTTTATTATGAATATGGAGTCATACAGGAATATTGGCTCGTCGAATATGACATGAAGAGATACAATGACTTTTTAGGTGGATAGGTCAAGACATTGGTAGTTGTGGTGAAGGGTGGATATCCTAGGAATTTGCAGGGCGTTGAACATGGTTGAAATTAGTGAGAGGTGGTGAGGTGAGAGAAACATAGAAAACTAAATACTCGTAGATAAGAGTAAGTTGGATGATTTTTTATTAAGCAAAAGTAAGGTGTGTTGTTGTTTATCACAGATGAGGGAAGGATAATGAGAAAATGGGTTGCCTTGTTGAATCCTTCATTCCAAAAAGTTGTTGGGAGGTGAGAGTGAAAGAGAAGCTTTGAAATTTGAACCATATTGTTTAATGTTTGAAGCATGCATTTGTATCTTCTATTTTGTTGGAAAGTGCAGGTGATGCCATACAATCGGATTGAATGGCCAATTACAAACAATAGGAACACAAAGAACAAAGATGACTCCAAAGCTGGATTATTTTATTAGTTATTAATACAAAAAACGTCCTCAAACAATGAATAAAGGAGATCCTTATAAGGAGGATCAGATAAGCACAACTTCTTAACCCTAAAAGATTGTAATTGATGAGGGAAAAAATTTGCAATCATTTATCTAAACCAAAACTCAAAACAAAAAGTTTTCATAATTAGAATAAACGGAAAAAACGCGTTTTGAGGCCCTAAACGATCATGGATAGCCAGAAGACACCAGATGTCATGGCGAAGTGATGATTTTTCTTAATTGACACGTTTTACATGTTGTGCGCGAATTTCGTCCAATTCTGAGCTTTTGGATCACTTTGGCAGATTTAGTGCTGATGTTATCTTTGTTCCAATCCTACTAGTGTTGACATCATCAATCCATGCATCAACACTTGTACCACTTGCCTCAGTAGGGACACTAGAATTGAAATTGGATTCCATGAGTTGGAAAATAACCATGAAATAGTTTGCTGTTGTACTCCCCCCTTTATCACTTTGGGAAGATTGAATTGAACATCTGGATTGATTTTTAACAATAAAAATAGGAATAAAAAGTGGGTGAAGTGATCTAAAAAAGGATGACATAATATTGTAAACCATTCAAACTAGAAGTTAGGGAAGTTTGAATAGCAGAGTGTACAATTTAAAATCACTAGAAACATGAAAGACAGATAATTAAACGAAAAATGAATGTGTTTTCCAAGTTGACTAGCAAATTACATTGGTATTGTCGTTATTACATTAAATAAAACTATTTGAAATGAGAATGTATACACTTGATCGCCGGGATGACCGAGCCATTGGTGCCAAAGATATTGAATTGAGGATAAGAGGAGCATGATCATAAATTTGTCCTTTGCTGTCACATCAGATTAATGTTTGTTGGATCTGCTAATTCTTAATAGTAAAATCGTCGATACAATAACATATTTTTTTTAATGTTGGGTGTAATGAGATTATTATCGAGGTGAAGAGTGTCGTGTGTATTTTTTATAGGAATGTCCTTGTGTTCGGTTATGCTTACAAGAATTCGATACCCATTAGCAACATAAACATAACTTGGATCATGAATTTTAGACAAAATTTGAAATGTATCTCTATTCGTATGAACATAATCGGTTTCTCATACATCAATAATCCAGGCAATATTTTTGGGGTTATTTGATGAAAAAGAGTTGTACAAGTGATGGAGATAGGTGGGGTGTTCATTGTTATTGACCCATAGATATGATTAGGCCACTAGCGATATTTGGGCCATAGCATTGGATTGTGTGATAGCAACCATGTGAGCCTGATAACCAATATTGAAGGTGGTTAGTGGCTAGATTGGAGTTGGGTCAGCATGTCAGCAATAGGTCGAGTCGACCACTAGGATAAATACCCATACTGAGGTGGTGGCATTCCTTGCTGTCGTTGGAGGTTTGGCTACTTTTGACGGTCATTCCACCGTCCTTGTCCATGGAAATTATTGTCGCTAGTTTAAAGAATATTACTAATGAAGAGAAAGATGGATAGGAGGCATGAGTAACGTGAAAAGTAGGAGGGGCGATTTGAGTCTAATTCTTCTAGCAACATAATCAAACCTTGAGGAGCGAACATTGATTGCGTAGATCACTAGATTTTTGTTCAGCATCGACGATCTGATGTTTTCAAGTAGGTCGCATTGGTTTTGATGTTGGTGAAGTAGTCGGTGATAGATTGATCTCCATTGGTTTCACGTATTTGTTCACTGGGAAGAGGTTTTTAAGACTCACCCACACATTACGAGCCAACAAATCCTTCTTAGAAATCATTTGAAGAAAAGATTGGGAGATGGTCCTGTTAAGATCAAGAAGGCTCTTTGTAGTTGTTATTTAAGTGATTGGTAACGTCAAATTCAATATAGTGAATCGAGAAAAGTTCCCTCCACACATCATAGTTGATCCAGTTAAGATCAAGAAGGAGAGAGATATAATATTTGACATCCCTAATGTTAAATACATTGGGATAGAGTTGAGGAGAGAGTGAAGGGTCAAATAGTAATAATAGATTTTATGAGTGGAAAAGGAAGGTTTATCATATTTGCTACGATACCATCATAATTTTTATCTTCTCATTCCCTTGAATAATGATCATACATAACACATATATACATACTGAGATGGACATGGGTTGAGAAGTAATGTAATGGGCTAAGCTAATATATAGTCTCACAAAAGAACAAAGTTATCGGCACAATCATATTGATTTGTGTTAGAAATATGAGTTTAATGGCACTTGGAAACCTGGGAATCGTGATTATTACTTTTAAATCGAAGTATTTGGGTGGTACTCCCAAATCCCAATTGGATAAAACTCAGAAAAACCAGAGAAAAAGAAAGAGAATGAGAGGGTATATTTTCGTGAGTACCAGAAAAACATACCAAAACGGAATTTAGATCATTGTTTGAAAATTGTCGTATGACAGTTTAAAACTGTCACAAAACCACCAAAATGGTCAAAAAACGGGTATTTTGAATAAAAATCAAAATGGGTCAATTCTCTAAAAAACCGGATTTCGA